TTTTTCTGAACAAATTTTGCTATAAAAATCTTTAATTCATTTTTCGTCAACATTATTTAGTTTAAATTGTGGCTTTACGTTATTGTCCAAAGCGCATAACATTGATTTTTCTATTCTCGTTAATAGTTTATAGTTGTTGTTTTTTTTTTGCTTAAAAATAAATGAGCGTGCATCACATAAGCGTTGAAAGAATCCAATTAGTCGCCACTCAAAAGCAAAAACAAAGTGGCTTAGAAAATATTGTTGCATGTCACAGTGGTCAGTGCAACTGATTTATGCATCGCCATGTGGCCGCCTGTGTCATGATGGCATGTCGCTCAGCTCAGTGTCTGTCAGCAATTAAATCCAGTTTGTTGTGTGACGTAATGTGACACTGCTGATCTACGCCTGGCTTGCTGCTGCTAGTATGTGTTGCAGCCCACCGTAAAATCAACCTGACAAGCACGCTATTGTTGTTGCAGTGTGTAGGCCCCACCAAGGCCAGTATAATATTTTCGAACTAATTGCTTTTTGCAATATTTGGTTAGTATTGGTGATTTTGCAATTTTTCTATTTGATTTTCAAATTACATTGGTATTTTCGCAGTAAATTAGCAAGAGAATTTAAACGATCGGTGAGCGTTGTTTTCGCACGCAAAAAAAAAATTAAGAAAATTGATTTTGAATTAAATTAATCTACTATTTATCCAATTTGTTCATAAGCACTGTGCTAAGTGATTTTGGATTAGCGTAAATTTTCATATATATATGAATGTGTATTTCTTTGTACAGAATATACCTGAGAAGTGCTCGGTTTGCGTTTAAGAATTTTATTCACTTCGCTAAAGTTTTTTCCCACCTTTCCCCTGTAGTTTGCCTGTTGCTTGTAAGACAGCTTTCTTATTTCGATTTGGCATTTGTTTGTTGTCTTGCATATTAATTACTACCGGCAGGCAGCACGTTTTTTTATTGGCATTGTTATTGTTGTTCTTGCCTTATACAAACATACGGAAAAATATTTACTTAATTTATTTGCTGAAACTTTTATTTGTGTTTGCTAAGATTTTTTTTAGATTGCGCTGTCCAACAATGGGTGTTTAATACTTAAGTATCTTTTTCAAGTAATTATAATTATTATTATTTCGTAACTTTTATTTTGCTATATTTTATTTTAATTTATTTTTATTATTTCATTTTTTTATCTCAATTTCATTCACCTAATTTAATTTTTTAATATTTCATTTTATTTTATTTTATTTTATTTTATTTTATTTTATATTATTTTATTTTATTTTAATTTATTTTATTTTGGTTTGTTGTATTTTATTTTAATTTTGTGATACTATCATTTTGTTCGATTTTATTCTATTTTAATTTATATAATTGTTTCTTATTGCTCTAAAAGCTATTTTATTCAATTGTTTGATTTTGACTTATTTCACTCGATTTTATTTTCCTCGCTTTTATTTTTTGGTTTCTTTTTTTTTTATTTTTTTCTTTGTATATTATTTCATTTTAATTTATTTTATCTTCTTCTTATTTTTTTCATTAAATTTTTCTATTTTATTTTATTTTATTTTTATGCCATTTTATTTTTCTAATTTATTTATTTATTTATTTTTTATTGTATTTCTTATATAAAGGCATTACAACCTTTACGTATTTCTCCGAGAAATTATGCGCTTAAAACATACTTATAAATACGTACATACATAAATATATACATATTATGTTGACGTATTCCGCAAACACATTAAACTTTATTTCCGTGTTAATAAATAACAATAAAAAATATATTCACGTATATATGCAGTATAAGATCTGTTTGCCTGGCTGTAAGCACAATATATTTGTTTATACTTACGAATGCATACGTATGTACTCAGTTTATACACAAATATTAATGTAAATGAAAGTTATGCAATAAGCTTGGCTGTAAATTCCGCCTTAATTCAGCGCTTAAATACTTAGTGAAGAAGCGTGATAACCTTAATATATTTTTAATGGTATATTTACAAAAGTACTTTCAGTTTTGGGAGATTCTTTACTCCCAACTCTAAGAGCTTAACTACCCATAAGGATTTTAATTTCTAAAATTGTCATAAAAAACAGAAAAAAGGAATGATTGTTGGTCCCACATTTTTTTGCAGTAAAGAATATATTAAAAATTAGTTTCAGAATCCTGTGATTTTTGTCCCAAAAACTAGTTTGTCCCAAAAATTTTATTGCCATGACATACTAAAGAAATTTTCAAATTTCGTTAGAAAAATAAAAACCGCTAAAAATTTTTTTTCGAAATAGTTATTTGTCACAAAAAGTTAAATTGTAAACAAAAACTTAAAAAAATTAAGTCACTTATAAAAATAAACTGAAAAATCGAAATTTTGTTTGAAATACAAAAACCCGTAAAACAACTTTTTATATAAAATTTTCTGTCCCAAAAACCTATACTGCCGCAAAAAAATAATACAAATTCATATTGTAAAGTACTGTCCCAAAATTTTTGACTGTCCCAAATTTTTTTCTCAGCCCACAAATACTTCTGAAAACTTAGAGCTATCTCAAATTACGTGTTTTGCAAAATTTTTTCATATGTCCCAAAAACTAGCATTTGTGCCAATAATCTGCTTATGTCCCAAAAACATTTTTTTGTCTGAGAAACTTTTTTTTTCAAATTTAAATTGTTTCAAAGCACAAAGAGGTATATGTGGCAGTGCAATAAAATGTTTGTCCTAAAACTCTTTCTGAAAAAAAGCTGAATAAATACATGTTTTCCAAAATGGAGATTCAATTTATTAATTTTTTTCAGTGTAAATAGTATACGAGTATATCAAAAATGTAGGCTCATAAAGTGAGCTATTACCCTTTATAATAAAAACTTTTAGAATAAAACTTTCAGATTTTTCACGAATTATACAAATAATATTATTCTTTAAAATATGGTTAAAATATTTTTTTATAAATAAGTCGCTGCTAAAAAATTGTTTTTTTTTAAACCATTTTTATAATTTTCTATTTTATTTTAATTTTTTAGTTTTATTTTTCAATTAGCGTACTTTTTCCAACAACACATTGCATTATAAAGTCATTAAACTAGTTTTTTATTTGTTAAGCAATTTTCTTGACAACAATTGTCGTTGAAAAATATACGCATTATCAACAATAAATCAATGTTTATATGCAATAACAAATGTTTGAGGTTATTGAGAGGGCTTACATAAATTTGTTAATTACTTAATTGTCTAATCGAGTTATGGATACAAAAATATTATGGTAAAAACCGTAGCAAGCAGCCTGTTATTATTAAATTTATACTGTGATTTTAAATAGCTCATAAAATGTGAACGCTAACATTGAAGATTTATATGAGGGGTATAATTGCTTGGAAGGCGATAAAAGTATTTTCTAATTTTCAAGGCGTCGCCTCGCTGTCTGGGTAAAAAAGATTTACACAATTTTACTAGGAAGATTTCAGTTAATTAATTATTTTCTTTGGACTCACGCAGTTGCCAGACGCATTAAATATGATTGATAGCTTTAATTGTGGTTTTTTAATTTGCAAAAATAGATAAATTTCAGAAATAAACTGGCAAAAAGATCTGTAATTATCTAGGAGAAAACTGCAAAACCAAATAGCTTCGATGAGAAAGGGAAATGAGCAATAATTGCAGATGCTTGAGGCATTTATGGAACTTTCACTCAATTCTTGGAGTGTAATTGCAAATGTGGTATGGGCGCCCATACCACAATACCACATACGTATAAGAAGACACGAATTAAAGAGTAATTGAAAAAATTTTGACAAAGTAAAGTACTTATTTATAGAAAGTTTCCAAATAGTTTCTGTGCTTTCTATTCCCTGCTGCAAGAATTAACTATCTGAAATAGATTTGTTAAAAGTTGAAAGTTTGAATTTTTGTAAATTATTTAAAAAACTTTCTAAGATTAAATTAAAAAAAAAGAACTTTTCGATTTTCAGTTCAATTCAAATTTTTTATATCAGATTTTTTTGTTTTATACATTTCTCTAATTGTACAAAAATATTTTTCACTCGTTTTAGTTTGAGTGCAACCAAAAATTTACTCACAGAAAAATTGACTTTTTTGAATATAAATATTTTAAAAATAGCTTTTTTAGTGTTTTTTCTTTATTTTTTTTTTTCATACTGTATTGTATATGATTCTTTGCTGAACACCGTAATTATCTCCGCTCATAGTTAATCACAAAATTTCTGCAGACCAACAGTCAGTGACCTTCTTGGCTATCTTATATAATTATTTAGTAAATTATAGCCATTGGCTAATTGCGGGGCAAGCATGCAGTAATTAACCACAGCGATTAGCTGGAGAAGAAATAGCAAAGCCTATTAAACTTATACAAAATATTAAAAAAAAAAAATTAAAATCCACACATTTTAAGCAAGAAGAAACTTTAAGTCGCTAATTTAACCATTACAAGACCGCCGTAATTTTATTTGAGCAACAAATTATATACTTTATAGCTTAAAAACTGGCGGGCTGTTTCACAATTTTAGAGGTTAAATACAAAAAAAAAAAATAAAAATAAACTAAATAGAAGCAAAGCGTGGTTAAAAAGACCTTAGCAAAAATGTTGAAACAAAAGAAAAATAATAAAACAAAAATTTTAATTGAAAGCCGCGTTATTGTGTAATTAAAATATTAATCATTTTTTTCTATACATGCTATGTGTCATGCCGTATTTATTTAAAGTTTTTTTTTTCGCTTTTTATTTAGTATTTCTAGTAAATGCAATTTTTTGTTTTTGTTTCTTTTATGTTTGTAAGTTAGTGTTTTTTTATCCATAATTTTTTAGTTCTCTTTGCATTTATTGGCCCAAATCCTGTTTTTGTTGAACACAAAAAAAAAAAAAAAGAATTGCACTGAAATTCTTAAATTTTAAATCGTGATTATGTCTAAGCATTTTTTGTGTGTTCTGTAATATTTTTGCAGCATATTATATAATACGATAAGACTTTTAAGCAATATCTTTATTAATTTTCAGGTGCGCATTGTTCCATAACTTATTTTGTGCCAGAATTTCAACATATTGAATACGAAGTAAGTTTAAATTTTAGTTAAATACTTTTTAATTTTATATTCCTTTATTTTTTCATTTAATTTCAATTAAGATTCCTTATTTTTATTATATCCTTTTATTTATTTTAATTAATTTTATTTAATTTAATTTTTTTTATTTTCTTTTTTAAATTTTTTTTTAATTTTATTTGTTATAATCTCAATTTTTTTACTTTCATGGCAATATATAAGATTGTCAAATATCTCCCTTCCGCTTTTTTGTCTTTTGAATTTCGCGGCTAAGTACAAAGCGCTACATAGCTCGTATCTGGCCACACTTATATATACATATATATATAAATTTTTTTTATTATAAATTTTTTTTGCGTTGCGGTGGAGGAAAATAAAACTTTGTGCCACTTTCTCTCTTCTAAGGAACCGTCGCCCACCGTGATGCTGTTTCGTACTTCCATTTTTTTCTTAGTGCAATTTACAGCTCGCCGCCTTTGTGTAGATCCCGCTTTTTCGTTCCCAGCATGCGTTCTTTAAATTATTTTACACTTTCCAAGCTTCTTTCACTTGTCTGCATTTAATGGCCCGATCGCGCTTTCGACTCTACTAATATAAATAAAATAATAATATAAATAAAATGTGCTCGACGCAATCTTCACCGGCATCTTTATAGATATAGTGTGGCTTCTCAGTCACGCCCGTCGAGCTTGCCACTGTTTCAGGATTATCTTACTTTTGTCCTCTCTCATAGTATTGACCGCATTTCCATAGCGCCTTATTTTCTTGTGTGTTCAGTTTCGGATGCTAAGAGGTTGTTGGAAATGTTTCCGCTAATTACTGATACGAATCGACTGATACAGTAACTGGTACCCCGACAGCAGTTGTTCGATACAATTTGATCAGTACCTTTTGTCGGTTGTCGGGCTTCTTTAGTGAGTTCGCCCATAGCTCTGCATTATATAGTAAAATGCTCACTGCTGTGGTGAGTCTTAGACCGCTCATAATAAGCCAATTTTGTGTTCTTAGCGTTACTTGAGTCAGTTTCCGACGTACATCTTCTGTTTAGCGTGCGGTAATTATAGCGGCTGAACCCTTGCAATATAAATAAATTTGTTTATTTTTTTAACTTTATTGAAATTCAATACATACATTCATGTTGTAATTTTTTCTCGAAATTATATTTTTACGAGAACTGGATCGATTTATTTGATAAAACAATTTATGTTGCTATTTTTATTCAATTTTTCATTATAATTTTACTTTATCATTTAATAATATTTATTTTATTTGACTTTTTTGTTTTCTTTTATTTCTATTTATTCTACTTGATATTACATTATTATATTTTAATTTATTTTTTCTTTTATATTTTCAATTTAATATTGCTTTAATTAATTTTTTTACGCTTTTTTTTTAGTTTTGTGTTACTGAAAATATTTTTCTTAATTTAATATTTTTTATTTCCTTTTATATTTACTTTTTACATTTATTTTAAATTCGTGTCTTTTGTTTCCTTTTATTTTATATCATTTTACTTCAGTTTACTGAATGTACATTTACTATTTTATATATTATTTACGGTATATATTATTTACGGTATCAAAAAAAAAAAATAATAGTAATTGAAATCGATTCGTCAAAATAAGCGTTGAGACCCCGACGTCAATGAGTGCTATAAAGAAATGCATTTTCATGTGCATATATGTACATATACATACATACAAACATATAGGCGTATATATACAGCTTTTGATTATTTTCCTGTACAAGACAGATAAAACGTTTGTGAAAATAATAGTTGCTATTACTATTTTTAGCAAGTTTATATACCGCAAATGGAGACGAAAAAGCGAAACCAGAAATAGTAGTAGTGAGCTTTTGTGGCAACTGTAAATAATTGTAGGCGCTTAAGTAAATGTGTGCTCTCTTTTTTCGTCTCCTTCCCTAGAATTGCGGTTAAAAATAACAGCTAAACACAACGGAATTTACATAAGTGCCCATAGATGAGTATATAACTACGTATATATATATACATATGTATACGAGTATATGTGTAGCATACGAAAAATAACCCATTTTTCCTTGCGGTTGTCATTATTATCATTTCTATTTTACTTCCTCGCCAACACACATTTATTGTGCGTAATTACACATACACCATCCTTAATGCAGCGCGTACTAAAGTCAGCTGCGGTTATTTATAGTTACTCATACGACATGGATAACTCAAAGTGTTTAGTGTGTATTAAAACTAATTTGTGGTATATATATATATAAATTAATGTATATAGATATACATATAATACAAGTATGTATATGTAATAAATTTATTTATGCAACTGTTATAAATATTAGCAATATTTCCTTGTACCACTTACGTAAATTACCCAAATATGAACACATGTTCAAATATGTTCTATTTAGCTCCGTAACGGTCATTTGTCGGTTCACAAAATCGTTCAAATGTCAAAAACACGTGCCAAATGCACGTTGTCTTTTCACTGATTGACAAGTCATATTTCCATTGTCATGCTTGGTGTGCTTTTATATACATACATACATTTGTTTATTTATATACATATATATATATATATATAGGTGTATGGGTTGTTGATTCGAGAATGAGCTTGTTATTCTGCCATGTGGTTTGTGGTTAGGTGTAAATAAGTAGGTAATAATGGCAGCTTAAGTATTTGAATTTTCACGTGCCTTGATAAATGTGTAAACAAATATATGTACATACATATACACATATAGTATGTATAGTGTAAAGTTTGTGCGTGCTTAATTTACTTATGGCTCTAATAATATAATATTTAGTCATTCAAACTGTCAATAAAGTGTGGAGAATTATGTAAGAATTTATTGACAGATATTGGTGAAACATTTGACGTATGCCAATGAAAATTGACGGTTTGTACATACATATATGTATATATGTAAGTTTACATATATACACACATACATATGTATGCATATATCAGTTGTTTTATTAAATTTGTATATTCGATTAACTTATGACGTCATTTAGTTAAATTATTTAACAGTTTCTTGTTTATATTTTAAGTATTACCCAGTAAACCTTAACAGTTTTGTAGCTCGTAACCGCAAAACCAAAGAAATATTATTATTAAAATAACATTTTAACCATTTGCCTGCGTCTGTTTTCAGTTTCTCTCTGTTGATTGAAACTACTCGTTGCCTAACGGCCTATGGATAAAGCAGGTCTTCTGCCACTTTTTTGATTTGAAGACAAGACATGACTCTGACTCTTCAGCGTTGGCCTAGATATGTGTTGCACTCGTCATTCCTGTGTTGGTATGTTCAGTTTCTGCACTTGAAATAGTTGTAAAGCATTTTCTGACTTTACCACGAAAGATTCCAAGCCAAGTTTCTATTCACGACCTGCCTGTGAGGGATTGGAAGTGCTCTCTGTAGCTATTCTAACGCTCTGGGAACTTCACTTTACCCACGCTGAATCCACATGCTCTGAGAATTGATTGCACGGGTTGGCCTTATTCCGTCCGTATGCACTTTATTTCAAGCTTGGCAACTCTTTCTTCCCACATCTCCAGCTTTCGGTGAACTGGTCTGGTACTGCGTGACCATTTCATTTCTGATTTCTTTGGATATCCGGCTTTAGTACCCGTGATGTGAGTGGCCTCACTTTATCACCCCATGTGACCTTATCAAGCTTGTGGCTGTCCGTAAAGCTTATCTGCCACTTTTTTGTCGATTTTTTGATTGTCCCGAACGCTAGATCCTAATTCGCGCTTCGCATGATTTCCTCAATACTTAGAGTATTAGGTAGACCATGCTCCCACGAACTGTGACCTACTCAATTCGACCTCACTCAAGAAAACTTAGGTTAACTATCGAAACATATTTGGACTATACTCCAGCTTGTACAGCGAAAAAGGCATATCTCAATATTATGCTATTAACGTAGAAATGGTTTGACAGGTGAGCCTGCTAAACTTCCGCACCAGGTTAAGGTGTCTGTTCTCATTGAGGGCTGCAAATTTTTTTTTTAAGTTTAAATTTCATTAAATCCTGTCGTAATTTCATGACAATTGTTTTAAATTTTCACTCCGTGATGTGAATGACTTATCGATCTATCTTTTCTCTCTCTCCCGCGCATTACTTTTGGCACTAAAAAAACTTAGCTTGGGTGGTTTAAGTCAAAATTCATCACTTTTTAACTTCGTCGTACAAAAAATTTCAAATATTTCATTCTAAACATCGACTCGTGCGTATTTCGCTTCTTTCTTTGCACTTTTTTCATACTGCCGTATCTTTCACTATCCTACTTATTCTTTAAACATCATCCGAGGCAAGCCTTGTATTGTCAAAAGCACAATTTTGTCTAAAATGGTTTATTTTAATTTCTCTCATTTTGTCTTTGGGTCTGCCTAATTGTTTACACTTACCCATGGCTTAGTATAAGACGGTCATAGAAGCCCTATACAGTCTCCTTTTTATTTATTATTTCAATTAAATAATTATGAATAGTATATAAGAAAAATCATTTTAATTTTGCGAAAATTGGCAACAGTGTCTTTTGAGAACTCGTAATAGTAAATCTTAATAGAAAAATTTTATTTAAATCCTTAAAGTATGGCTTAAACGATTTAAAAGCATTATTCAAATGTTTTTTCTATTTGTTTAACATTTTATATTTTTTTTTTATTTACCTTGCTTTTATATAAACAAATAATTTCCAACTAAAAACAATCGACTTAAAATATATGTTTGCAAATAAAATTTAATTTGATCATGTTTACATCAACTGAATTATTTAAATGCAAATAGTTTCAGTAAATAAATTGCAATTGACGCTTCTTACTGTTAAAAAAATGAGAAAAAACAATTTTAAATAACAAGCAATATTATATTTTTTNTGTAGCCATTCTAACGCTCTGGGAACTTCACTTTACCCACGCTGAATCCACATGCTCTGAGAATTGATTGCACGGGTTGGCCTTATTCCGTCCGTATGCACTTTATTTCAAGCTTGGCAACTCTTTCTT